ATAATAACTGAAATTGTCGAAAGTACAAAGCAAAAATATAAACTTTGGAAATCTAATTTTGAATTTTATTATTTGAAAATGGAAAAAATAAATAAATAAATAAATAAATAAACAGACAGACCCTGTCCGTTAAATAGAATAAAACTCGTTTAATAAAATTTGTACTGTTTTCACACACCCAAACACCAACACCCACACATATATGTGGATGCGTGTGTGTGTTTACACATAACTATACATGTTCTATTAAAAATGTCATATGAAATGCATATACTTTACCAATGTAAAGAGAACCAAATTATTGTCTACTATTTTGATAATTTAATATGGCTGAATTTGAATGGCGATGATAGCAGTTTTATCTAAACTCGGTTGGGATCCGGAAGTCAATAAATACAAACCTTTTTCAACTTAGCATCAAATAAGTACAGGTGTATATCATATTTAAAAAATTGAATAAAAAATTCTTTGTTTTTGTTCATTTTACAGCTGACAAAGCAAACAATAACAAAATAGTATTTTTAAAAAGACCAATTCTTTCTTTTTATAATTTTCAGTTAGAAACGACACAACGCATTATGAAACATGGTTATCATTTGCAATTGATGATAAATGAATAATAATAATAACAATAATAATGATAATAATAATAATAATCATTTTAAAATGAAATTCTAACCAACTACCTTGTAATTTCACACTTAGGTCATGTTTGGAAAAAAAAAGTAGAGAGAAAAATTCCCGAAAATGTGCCATATTGTGGATTTCTGTTGTTCCAGCAGACGACAAAGAAACGACAAAGAAAGTGAAAAGCAGAATAAATATTTGGACCTAGCCAAAGAATTGAAGGAATTGTTTTTGAAGGCCACAGCTGTACTGATCGCTTTTGGAGCATTGGAAACGGTCCCGAATAGTCTAACAAAAAAAAAAAAAAAAAAAAAAATGCTGGAGAAATTGCAAATTGTGAAAAAGAAGACCATCGACACAGCGACATTAGTAAAAAACAAACAAACAAAAGCGAAATACTGGGGAGGCTGCTATTGAAGAACTGATCTATTATATCACTTAGTCTTAAGTGCAAAGCATTAGTTGATATTGGTGGGAAAATACAAAAAAATAACATTGACAGAGATTTGCTGTCAGTGAAACTGCAGACTTACCCAGCAGTCTTACTCATACGAACAGACAAATGCATTAAGTAATAATACCAACATCAATTGTGTATGTGTAGCAGTGACACTGTTAAAAATTTTCTGTGTAAGAAATGTGAATGTTTTTTCCGTTCGTGAAATACCCGTGAACTGTGAACTGTGAAATTGGCCGATTCTTGAAAGAGATGAGTGAAATTTCCTAAAGCGATGATAATTCACCGTGACAATGAAGAGTGTTAGATGCGAATTTTAAATAAAGGAAAAAGAAAAAAACAAAATACAAGCAGCAGTAATAGCAACAATAATAATAATAACAATATTGTCATAAGACTAAAATTATTAATTTTATCGATTATTAGACTAATATTTATTAAAGTAATAAATAACAGGGACAATAATGATAATTGTATGCGTTGTATTTATTTTCCTGATAATATTGTTCTTTCAACTGATAATGTTCATCATGAATAAATGCTAATTATTTTGCAGGTGAAGGTGAGGATTATCAGATTTATATTATTATTATTATTATTATTATTATTATTATTATTATTATTATTATTATTCACATAATTAAGACGCCGATGATAAGGACAATAATATTCTTTAATATTATTTCGAATAATGAAAGAAAAAACGGTAAAATATTAAAATATGCTCATGTGTCTCACAGACACATGAGGATATTTTAATATCGTTTTTTTTAAATATTGTTCACCCAATACAAGACCTAAGAGCCACTCAAGGTAGATGATTACTAAATGAAATTGGCTCAATGTAATAGTAAACAGTCTCATTGAGCGTATAACTACTCATTAGGATTCGTTACTACTTTTGTTTCGAAGGTATTGAATGATACAAGCCAGTCTTTCGATATTGAACTGTAAGAGCTCGGTGAATGAAGAGATCAGTTGTCAGGCTCTGGTCATCTGTGGTAACATCAACATATACTTTAAAGAAGGCAGTGTTATAAACCCAAATATATGGTCATAACATATGTTTGGGTTTATAACACTGCCTTCTGCTTATGCGTTCATATAGTTGGTACTATTGTAGTCAAGTGACCGATGCACCAGTTATCTTGCTGCTTTTACAGTGTAAACATGACCGCTCCGTTGGCAGTGTGCACCAAAGAGCAACAAAGAGCAGTGACCCCATTTCTTTGGTCGGAAGTTGTGTCAGGGACGGGAATTCATCGGAGGATTTTAATACGGCAACAGAACACTACCACACAGAAGTGCGTATGAGTGGATCGAGAAGTTTAAAAGCGGCCGGACAAGCTTGTCTTTCGAAGAAGGAACAGGATGCTCGTCAACTGCCACTATTAACGAGAAGATTCAGCAAGCTTGGGAGATGGTAATAGCGAACCGGCGAGTTATCATCGATAAGGTGGCATGTTTTCTGCAGATTCGGATCACTGGTCTTTGTTCCTCCTTGGTGCACACTGCTAGCGGAGCGGCCATGTTTACACTGTAACAGCAGCAAGAAAACTCACCCGATCAACCTCAAAGTTCGATCACATGAGCACAATTGTACTAACTATAAGTAGCATGAACAGAATATATGTTATGGTAAGAGTGTGGATGATGATTTTTGACTTACCCTCGTGTGTGTATATATATATATATATATATATATATATATATATTAAGTAACGAAAATCTTGTTAATCCATATGGATGATCCCAAGGAGGATGAAATCCTGAGAGCTCAATGTTAAGTCAGAGCGAATAATTTAATTTAAAAGAAAAACAGACCACTTTAAGGCTCCATTTGTTATAATTTATTTCACCAGAGAATTTTATTTTTCTCTGGATCTTCAGACTTCACTTTCAAAGGTGAAAGTGAAGTCTGAAGATCCAGAGAAAAATAAAATCTGAAGCCTTTAAAGTGGTCTGTTTTTTTTAAATTATATATATATATATATATATATATATATATATATATATATATATATATATATATATATGCGTGTATGGGGATATACACTTTCAACAAAATTTTCAAACGTATTATTTTGGGGAATTCAAACAAGCAACTGCTGATAATTTTGAAATATGTACAATTAAAGAATAATACAATATTTATTCAATTGATGTAAAAGTTTCTAGCACTTGGCGGTAGAACTGAATAATATAAATTCTGTCACATTATGATTCAGTCATTCATATTGTTTCTTTCACTTGCTATAGTCTTACGTCAATTTTCACCTTAACTGTGAACTCCGTCATATAAGAATTACTCCGACTTTGATTCGATGAATTCTTTGGAGAAATATAGGATAGTTTCAAATTTTGAGGACCGTGGATCACAATAAGTAATGTTTTCCAGAGTGGAACTAAAAAGAATCTGTAGGTGACATGTGAAAGAATTTCTCATTCTCATTTCTTAATGAGAATTTGTTTTGTCGCATTCGTAACAGAAGGACTGGTGATGTCATGAAATAAAGTCCCCGGTTGATGTGTTTGCTCAGAAAAAGGTCATTCATCTTCCAACTCATCATCCAAATACGTCAATTGCTCACTACATTGTTGCACAGTAAGAGTGTTTCAACGATTCCTTATAAAGAATTTTTTTTAGAGTCCACCAGACTCATAGAATAACTTTTTCCACCAGCAAGGTCTCATCATTTTACATTTCAAATGATTAGATGTAACCGTAAATTCTATGATAACAGTTCCTTCTATCGCACTTCTTGTTTGTGGAACTCTTTTTAGGCTTCTTGCTTCCCATTCAAATTTGATCTTTAAAAATTTAAGTGCAATGTCAATCGTTATCTACTGTCTTCTTATTTCCAGTTCTTTTAACGTTCGCTCTTCTTAATAGTGTGTTTTATCATATTGTCTAATGCACAATAACTGCTTGCATTTTAGTGGCTTTATTGGCTTGTTTGGGGTGAAATGATTTTTTTAAAAAGTTTATAATAATATATCTATTTTTCTTTGATAATAATTAGTTGCCGTAAGATAAATTTGTTCTGAGTCGAACAACAGGCAAAAAAAAAAAAAAAAAAAAATGTAAAGGTTGATCAATGTTTCTTTCCGTCTTCAGGGTTTATCCACAACTTTCTACAGTTGAATGTTTACACAAGCAATGAAGAGATTTAACGACACTTTGATGATTTTTCCTAACCGTGTCCAAAAGAAAATACCGAGAATTTATGCGTTAATCTAATAATTTAATCTCACATATTTTCGAACTGCTTTCCATCATGCAATGTTAGCAATAACATTGATACTTTTAAATGTCAGGTTAGAACAAAATAAATGGCCATTTCGGACGATAAAGTTTAAAACGCCATAAATTGACTGAAACACAATATATTGAAAATTAAAGTAATCATCATTAGAATCCTGCCATTTCCATCACTATAAAAAAACAACTGCGGCCACGATTTTTTTTAACTGCTCTGCATTCGGTTATACCAAATGGCGCTCATGTGCA